AAATCAAACCAAATGCAGTTCTTAATGCCAATGTTCTTGGCATGGCTGGAAAAGATGTGTTGAATTTGGACACGGAGAGGTTTTTCACTATCAGATGTAAAATTCCAGGGAGACAGGAGCACATTTCCAGACTACAGCTTTTGGCAAAGAATTTGAAGCTCTTCTAGCATTGGAAGGTATTCACAGATGTTAAACATCTGTATAATGCAAGGCGAAATTGCTGGCACCCAAAGTGCAGGAAGGGTAATGTTACGTTTGTGTGTAGACATTGGAAGGAACCGATGCTCTTCAAAGGAATCCAGTTTTGCCCACTCACATATCGTTTGATTCATCTTTCATCTCAACCTCAAATAACAGCCAGTTTCTTAAACTATATTCCCTCCCCCATTATGTTCACTGATATTCCCCCTCCAGCCCGCAATCCTATAGCATAACATTGCAGTCCAGCATTTTGCAACTGAAAACAACCTACAGCAAAACTGAATGGAACTTAGTGGTTTGTTTAGTGATGAAGAAGTAGAACTTTTATTTCACCCAAAGTTACACCAGGAATGTAGGAAGTTGCCTTATTATACTGAGTCAGAATATTCGTCCACTTGGTCCAGTATTGTCTACACAGGTTAATAGGTTTTCTGGAATATCTGTTTCTCCCAGCCTTGGAAATGCCAGCAACTGAATCTGGAACTTTTCATATGCAATAAGTTTGTCACTGTACCTGAGACTAATTCCATCTCCTGTGGTGTCCAGGGGCCTCTAAGCAGAAGACAGTTTTCCCTGGGGAGATGTATGCAGCTGGGGGAAGTGGAGTCCAAGATGCTGTCTGGTCCAGTTTTGAATTTTGGGTGCTAATTCTCAATCTAGTAACTTTCTAAAGTTATTAGGGATCATTCAGCAAATTACCACCAACAAAGAACCAATGAAAATAAGACATGGTTATATTCTTCTTTTATTTTATTTTATGAATGCCCCATATTAAAGAGATGCCTTTTTCTTCTTATGTCTTTGCAACAGAATTTCTTGTTGGCATCGACCTCTCTGGAGAGACCACAGAGGAGTGCACCTTTGAGGGTGAAGTCAAAATATAATTATTACTGCTGCTGATATTCTTGTTCTTATTCAAGGTTCTGGGCCAGCCTTTGCCAACCTGGCATCCTCCAAGCATTGTTGGACTACAACGCCCATCAGCCCCAACCAGCATGGGAGTTGTAGTCCAACCAAGGTTGGACAAGGCTGATCTGGACAGATGCATTTATGGAAGCTGGTTGAGCAATTCCAAAATACTCCACTTAACATTAGCATTCAATATGCTCCCAACTTTCACCCAGTCGTTCAAAGGACTCATAATCCACTTTTTGAGAACATGCTTTACACGTTAAGCTCACAGCATACATAAAAATGCAAGCATTTTATTTAGCTGAGTTGTTCCATTGTCTCCTGTGGGACTTATTGTAGAAAAACTTGAGAAAGGGCAGGAAAAGTGATGGAATCACAGTTCACATGGAAAATGCAAAAGGATTCCAGCGATGTGTTGCTGTGTACATTTCTCCCAAGCACTATGATTATTTTAAAGACGGGGTTGGGGTGGTTTTATGTGCGTATCGCATAGATGAAAGCAACACAACAGTCTAATCCTAAGGCAAAGATCACAAGGCTATCACATCCATCTGCTGGCAATAACAGATGGCAATGCTAATTGTTGTTCAAGGAATTCATATTGTTCTAATTTTCTCAAGGGCAAACTAGGGAAGCAGACGTGAGGCTTTTCCGAAAGCCACGTTTTAACGCTAGTCAGAAAAGGGTTGCAGATTATTTCCAGTTGGTGTCGACAAGCCACCATGGGAAAGAAAATCATGGCACAGGCCTAGGGGACCTGAGGCTCATGTTGTCCAACCCCAACTTTCCTTCTGACTAAAAACACATCTTCCTAGATGAAATCAGCCAGGTATGAATATTCCGAAGAAACAAGGACAGGGTCTGTCTCTAGCACAGCCCCAGGCAACCTTGTAACCTGGTGGCCTCCAGATGTTTTGCAGTCCCACTCCCATCAGCCCTAGCCAGTACAGCTGGAGGGAACCACATTAGCGAAAGCCAGTTTTGCAGCCCCATTCAGTTTCCTTTACCTTATTTTTCCTTCCCCCACGACATAATTTCCCCCAAGATATAGTGAAGTCATGAAATCCTCCACCAAGCACAAAACCTCATCAAGTTTTCTCTTTTTTTGCAGCCATCGTATATACTTAGTGAACCAGACACAAGGCTTTTTAAAGGCCTCCTCCTAAAATGTATTCAAGGCCTTTCCTGCAGCCTCTCCTTGCCGTTCTTGTCTAAGCTGTTTGCATACATACAGACACACGCAATAGATATGCTGAAACATGGTCAAGGAAACAATACAGATCCCATTTAAAATGTCAGTGACTGTGCTTCCAACACTTATTCATTCTCAGATAAATTCTGACCAACCAACAAAGTTAATTAAAATATATTCTATAAATCAGCCCCAGGCAAAACAGGGGACTAAGTATGGAGTTATAACTAAAAACTTACTTTAGCAAGTCTGTCTCCACATTTAATTTAGTTATATGTACTTCTTTCTTAATTCTGCTGATTTTATCTCATAAGTATATTACTGCTTTATGTACACCTCTTAAGAGATTTCTTCATGAAGTGGTTTATAAATTTAAAGGGTGGTGTCAGGGCTGCCTCAGGTCCCAGCTCACAAGAGACCAACGCCAAGTCCAGTTTATATACAAAGATGTTTATTGCAGTGTGTTGTACGCTCCACAGCCGAGGCGCGCAGCCCCACGTCTGTTACGCTTAGACCGCTGAAGTCCCCTCTGAGTCAGTCCCTCCTCTGCACCAGTTTAAGAGGCTTGTGCTGCTCCACCTCTTCCTTTCTTTCCTTTTCCGCAGGGTCTTCCTGCCCCCTGGGGTTTCGCCCCTCCTGGATTCCCCTGACGCGGAGGTGGGTTTCTTGTTCTCAAGCTGTACATATTGAGACTATACAAAATAACTAGGTAGAAGGATAAAGGTAAAGGACCCCTGGACGGTTAAGTCTAGTCAAAGGCGACTATGGGGTTGCAGCGCTCAGCTTGCTTTTCAGGCCGAGGGAGCCAGCGTTTGTCCACAGACAGCTTTCTGGGTCACGTGGCTAGCATGACTAAACCGCTTCTGGCGCAACAGAACACTGTGACAGAAGCCAGAGCGCACAGAAACACTGTTTACCTTCCCGCCACATTGGTACCTATTTATCTACTTGCACTGGCATGCTTTCGAACTGCTAGGTTGGCAGGAGTTGGGGCAATGGGAGCTCACCCCGTCGCGTGGGTTCAAACCACCAACCTTCTGAATGCCAAGCCCAAGAGGCTCAGTGGTTTAGACCACAGCGCCAGCCATGTCCCTTTTACCTTTACAAAATAACTAGAAGAGTTTTAACAATATAGAAACCTAGGTAAAAAGTAATCAGGCAAGTAATTGTTTAGCTGGGTAGCTAAGCTGGGAAACTGTTGAAAGGCTGGAAAGGAAGGAAGGGAGATTTCTAGTGAATCTTTCCATGCAATCCTATGCATGTTTACTTAGAAGGAAGTTCCACTGTATTTGGTAGGGCTTGAACCACAGTAATAGTACAGTCCTGTACACGTTTACTCAGAAGGAAGTCCCATCAAGTTCAGTGAGTTTACACGTAAGAATCTGGGCAGAGAGTTGTAGCCCAGGTGGGTTTAGTTGCTGTTGCATTCCTGTACACATTTTCCTACGCACACAGAACTCAATAGGGCTTGCTTCTGAGTAGACCTGTATAGGTTTGCAGTGCATGGAAATTATGAAACTACTCGTTGACAGCCCTGGTAAATGAGTTTGTTTTTTTTCCTTTTTCTCAGCTTAAAATTATTTTGTGAGCTCCAACACCTCCAACCGAAGAGGAAAAATTATAATTCCTGTCACGCAAAATATTTAATCGTTGGCAATGCATAAGAAGCCGAATCCAGCGAATAAAATAAATTAACTCGGAAGTCTGAATGAAATTGCCTCCCAAGAATTTTAATGCTCTTCCAAGCATGAAAATAAAACACATTTGCTTCAGGTACTTGTAACCACTTGGCACAAGATAAATGCGTTTCCTCTCCCTCCCCGTTCTCCTTTCTTTCTTAATAAAACCAAGAAAACATTTCCTTGACCAAACAAAACATTTTATAGTATATACTAAATCCTTGTCCAGTTTTGGCCTCCCAAAAGGAACCTGAGTTTTATTTGTGTCTGATGCAAAGCATCTGTAACTCTCTTCTGACGCCACCTGCTTTCCATCTATTAATATTCCCAGAAGGCTTTTATGCCGCTCTCAGGCGAGGGCCGCAGTCATGCAATTCAGATGCGATTACCGGCTTAAATCACTAGATGGGCCCTATTGGCTTTGAAGTGATTAGATGAAAGCTCCTCTGCATACATCACAGGGGTGTCTTTAGCTAGACTAGTTTGCAGCAATGAAGCAAGCAGGTGAAAGTCACCCTTAAATAGTGGCACAGGCGATGCACCTGTGTTAAGCAAATGCCATACCAGCAAGGATGCTTCCAAATATTACACAATTCCTATTGAGAAAGCATGCCTGTGGGATAATCAGCAGATAATCAGAATGCAGGTCAAGGGACATAGGGTCCCCTACGTCTTGTTGGGCTACAAGTACTTACAAGAACAGCAGTGATGAATCCTTTGGTTGTGATCCCATTGAGTCCAATAAGGCTCAGTTCCAGGTGAGCCTGCATAAGGTGACAGCATAATTCTGCACACTTCCATTCAGAAGAAAGTCTCCCTGTTTTCCATGGAGCTTATTTCCAAGCAAGCGTGTACAATACTTCCCCAACCTGGTGCCTTCCAGAAATTGTTCATCTACCTACTGGCCATCCCTATTGGTCCAACAATAGGCAGGAGAACACAGGATTGGTGCATCAGGCAACTTAATAGGACAACTCTACAGACAACTTCTTCATATCAGGCCATTAGACAGTAAGTGAAGTTAAAAATCTTTTATTTGAATTAAATTCCCTCAATTCAATATATATATATATAAACAGATCAAGAGCTGTGCTTTTGCTTTTGGTTTTAGAATAATTAAAGTGATATTTGGCTATAAAAACAAACATAAATATAGTTTTCAGAATGTTCCATATTCTGCATAAATGCCCAGAACAAAGCACAAAACCAAGAAAACAACAGTCACAGTTTGCATACTTTAAATTAATATACTAGAAAAAGCCCCCATGTCGGCACACTTTAGCCAATATATAAAATTGTCTTAAGGCATAGAAAAGGTGCCCCAATAAAATCTGTAAAATGTGACACAAGTAATTAGAGGATTAATATTATACCTTTTATAAAATGGTGACTGGATATAAATCAAACCTCTCTGTTATTCCGCATACAATTCTTGGCAGACCCTCCAAAGTCTGAGAGGAGAATTATGAAAGCAGAGAAGATTTGTGTGTGGGGGTTGCCTTTTTTAATGGTCACAACTGTCTCTACTGCAGCCTGTGTGGTTGCAGAGGGATTGCTTTAGTACGGCTGGGACCCAATAAACAACAGAAGAAATGTCTTGATCATAAGAGGATTTGATAACAGGACTAGTTACCTAGACTAGTGGTTCCCAAACTGCCCCCAAAGACCACTTGAGAATTGCTGAAGGTCTTGGCAGACACCTGAATGATTTCCCTGCCTTTTGTAGCAATTGCAATGCACTGGGCTAGATCCATTGTGATTTTTAAAATGCATTTTAATTGCTTCTTTTATTTCTTACATGTTGTGTTTTATTGCGTCGAATTCCATAGTATACAGATTTTGAAACAATGCAATAGCATAAGAAATAAAAGAAGCTGGGAATCGCAAGTGGGGAGAGTGCTGTTCAACTTAGGTCCTGCTTGTGGTCTTCCAGTAAGAATCTACTCTGGCCTGATCCTGCAGGTCTCTTCTTATTTCCTGCATCAAGCAAGGGGCAGAGGAGGGTTTTAGGGAGCATGACCAGTTTGGTACACTGGGTGCCAAGCCTTGGAGGCGCCACAACTATGGTCTGGAATGGAGCATGAGGGGTGGGGGAACTTTGGCATTGCACAGGGTGCCACTGATATTTGAGACCGCAAGGTCCACCACTGCAAGGAGTTGGATTACATCAGGAGCAGGGAACCTGTGGAGCTTCCCAATGTCATTGGACTACAATTCCCATCATTCCTGAACACTGGCCATGCTGGCTACAGCAGATGGGAGATGGAGTCCCTAGCCTTGGACTGGACATCTACAAAGCTCTTCCTAATTCTTACATTTCTATGATTGTATGAAGCACGGCTCCCAGGGTGATTGTATGGACTTACATGCAGGGTTGGCCCAAGACAATTTGATGCCTGAGGCAGAGCAGCAAATGGTGCCTCTTTTCCTGCCCCAATTCAGAGTACCAATATCCATCCCAGCCGTCAAAATACAATAATAATAAACTGACGATCTTACAGTTTGCTGGCTTTCGTAACACTCAAAATCATGGCAAAGTGGCTTCAGCATCACTCTATTAATGTTTGACTGGGCAACTGGACATCCAAGGCATTGCTATGTCTCAGCTAGATATTTGTCCTATTGAAAGTCAGCTGATTGAACTCCCTAGAAAAGTTCACCAACAGAGCAGAGGCAGCCAACAAGCTGCCCTCTGGGTGTTCTCAGACTCCAGCTCCCATCAGCTCAGCCAACGATAAGGAACAATGGTTCCCCATCCCTGTATTCTGCCTTTTGTCTAACCTGTTCTCTTAGCGAGTTCTGTGCCATTCAACTGCAGCTGGAGAAAGGAGAAAACGCCCAACATGGGCTTACCAATCACCTTTCCCGATTCCTTCCGTACTTTTTATTAACTGTCAGTTTCCTCCTGGGATAGATGAAACCCATAAAATGGACAAGCCAGTTCCATGCTGATGTGCAACGTGGTTGACCCTGCCACGCACACAGTCCAGAGAAACAGATATCATTGTACCATTACGAACTTCAAAGGAGGAGCGAAGCGCAACGCTGGTCCAGATACTTCCTTCTGGCATTTGCCCTCCAACCTGCTGCGCAATTGAATGAGGCTGCCCATGATCATCCAGGAGCTGATTTAGAGTCACCCGGAGCATGTTACATGAGTGGATCAGCTTTATTGAAAACACAACACTGGCGACTCCCCTTTCGGTAAAGACAAAGTATTTCTGAGCAAGTTGCCCAGTAGAAACCAAACGGATCTGCTTCTCAATGGAGGAAACCTGAGTGAAATCCAGTAATTTGTTTCTGACAGCTCCTGTGGGCAGCCCCTTAACGGAGACCGAGGCTGAGAGAGCAGTGGAAACTGCAGATGGGATCCAGATGAGGCTCAGCGTACTAATTCCAGAGCTGTCTCCAAAATAACGAATGTTGCATTGTGCTGGCGAAAGGATCTCAAAGCTAATGAGATCCCCGGCTTCAACTTTGGTGGCCCCGGAGGCAGATATCGACGTGTCTCGATAATTGACGCCAGACTTGTGCACGGTCATTAGTTCTACGTTAGTGCCGTTTCGGTTGAGATAAGACACCAGGGAAAGGCCTTCGCGGATGCAGGTGGGGCCCATGGAGTACAAGGCTTGGTGCAAAACGAACTTCACCACGCCCCTTTCCGTAAACTTGACGGCTCTGCCATCGTGGGACAAGGTTAGCATGTAAGGGTCGGACAGGGAAACCAATCTGAAAGTTGGCCGGTAGTTCATTTGGTAGTGCATCGCGGTGGACAATTGCGCAGTCATGGCTACCGCCCCCGTATCGTGGGATAACCAAAGCAAACTGAGGGGTGTGTTGAGGTCGTAAACGTTGAAGTCTTTACTTTGGTTGCAGAATTGATTGGGGCTCTTCAAAAACAGCCAGAGAGCTTGGCCTGGTTCTACCTCCGCCGTGCCGCTCACACTGACGCTCTGGAAGATTTTGCCTTCCGGCTGCTCAATGCGGACCGAGCTCAGCTCACAGCCTTCCTCCTCCTGGCTGCTGAATTTCAAGGCAAGCTGGAGGAAATTCCTGCAGTTGTGTTTCACGGCAAAATTGAAGTCGGCCCACATTAGGCCGTGCTGCTTGAAGACCAGGCTGTTCTCTTCCACCGCGACGATGTCCCACTCGTGCTTCCCCTTTATCTTCAAGGTAACGCCAGGATAAATTTGAGAAGCACCAGAATTTGCCATGGGTAAAATGACGTTCGCAGTCCAGGACTCGGACAGCTTGTTCTCACCGGCTGTTGAGCAAACGGTGTCGCTGACAGTGGAGCAGGGGAGAACAACCGCCCTGTCTTCACACATTAAGCAAGCCTGGCACTCTTGCAGCTCTTTGTTAAAGAAATACTCTTCTCCGCACAATCCCAAGGCAGCTTCTTTTGCTGCAATTCCAAGGCATCGGAATCCTCCTGTTCACACACAGGGAAATACAGTTTCAGTCACAGGCCCATGTTGAATTATTATTAGTCTACCATTATCATCATCATCATCATCATCATTAATTGCACTTATTAGTCATGCTGTTTTTTCCCTTTTACACAAACTAACCCAAAGCAACTTACTATGTTTTCTGTTTTACAATTTAAGATACTCATTTTACATCCTTAAGATATCAATGACTTTCCTCCTTCTCTTTCAATGGTTCATTTTACATATAATAAATCCCTTCAAATTTTACAGAAACTATACCATTTAGTATTCCATCATTGCATCCACTAGAACTTATTTACACTGTTGAATTTATCTTGATGCTGCTAGCATTTTGGATTTGATATCCCGCCTTTCAGTCCCCTTCAGGAGTCTCAAAGCGGCTAACAATCTCCTTTCCCTTCCTCCCCCACAACAAACACTCTGTGAGGTGAGTGGGGCTGAGAGACTTCAAAGAAGTGTGACTGGCCCAAGGTCACCCAGCAGCTGCATGTGGAGGAGCAGAGACGCGAACCCGGTTCCCCAGATTACGAGACTACCGTTCTTAACCACTACACCACACTGGCATTTTCAGCTGTACACAATTATTTCCCATATAATCCATAAACGTTTTCCAATCTTCTTTAAACGTATGTTTTTCTTGTTCTCTCATTCTATATGTTAAGTCTTCGAGTTGTGCATAGTCTGTCAACTTACGTTGCCATTGGGACCTCGCTCGTTTTCCATTTTGGGGCTAACAAAACACGGGCCACAGTAGTAGCATACATAAATAACCTTTTTTGACACCCAAAGCAACATACAACCAGTTGCTGAAAATATTTGTATCCTGTCTGTCCATGCTTTTAAGGTACCATGCAATAAAAACGTAATGTTGCGGAGGCAATATATACCCCAAGAGGGCTGTCTCTGATTTTAAAAACATTTATCCCCTTCTAAAACTGATAGCACGTTTGCAAAGCTAAGCAGGGTCTGGTGTGGTTTCAAATTAGATGGGGGACCGCATGTTGAGATCCCTGCATTGCAGGGGGTTGGACTAGATGACCCAACTCTACCGCTCTATGCTTCTGTGTTGGTTGATTGAATTGCATGCGTTTCTATTGAACTATTGCCATTACTTACATACAAATATAACTGATAGACCCAATTTTTCGTTTGCTTGCAATAATTCTGAAGCACGATGGCTGGAGCTGATGGGAGTCCAAAAATAATAAATAATTTAGAGGGTGTAGTGAGTCCTGTTGAAGTGGCTTGAAGGGGATGTTCAGGGAGTGGGATATATATGTAACTGAAAACTTGTGTATCATCAAACTAAATTGGGAGGGGCTCCCCAGTATATATTTCATGACTAAGTATGGCTGCCTCTAAATTATTTGCAATAATTCTATAAATGCAGCACTTGTAAAGAAATCGTATTGAACTGAAATAATGCATTGCAACATAAAAGTGATTTTTTTTTCTAACAAAGAGTCCTAAAAGCTCTTACTCTTCAGCCCAACTCCACAATTTCCACTTGAAACTGCACCATGAGGGAACATTCCTGCCTTCATGAATGGCTTCATTCACAGAAATATAGCAACTTACCTGGAGTGTTCAGGCACTTTATCCTTTCTCCACAGATGTTTGGTGATTCAATGCACTCATCTCTATCCTACAAGTAACAGATAACAGAGTCAAGTTCAAATACTTAGCATGGCTCTGGGGCATCGTGCTGCTTGGAGCACAGCCAGTATGGCCAGGTAAGGGTCCATTGACCGAGGAGGGAGACCCAACGCAGGACACTTTGCCCAGGGGCCCATCAAACTTGGATCTGGACCTGATTGTAGAGGTTTACGGAAGTGAGATATAAATCGTGTGAAGGGCCGTAGCTCAGTGGTAGAGCATCTATCTGCCTTGTATGCAGAAGGTCCCAGATTCAATCCCTAATGGCATCTCCAGGTAGAACTGGAAATAATCCTGTCTGAAATCCAGGAGAGCTGCTGCTAATCGGTGTGGACAATATGGAGCTAAATGGACTCAGTGTAAGGCAACTTTCTATGTTAAAATTTGTGCTGGAGCATACAGGCAAAAGTGATAAGACTACAGACATAATAAACGTCGTTTACACAAAGAATAATGCAACAAAATCCAAAGTATATAATACTGAAACATGGGTACAGTGGTACCTCAGGTTACAAACACCTCGGGTTACAAACACTTTGGGTTACAGACTCCGCTAACCCGGAAGTAGTACCTCAGGTTAAGAACTTTACCTCAGGATGAGAACAGAAATCGTGTGGCAGCAGTGGGAGGCCCCATTAGCTAAAGTGGTACCTCAGGTTAAGAACGGTTTCAGGTTAAGAACGGACCTCTGGAACGAATTAAGTTCGTAACCAGAGGTACCACTGTATTTGTACTTTAACTTTAGTTGGTCTGTCTGTGACCTTTCAGTGGGGCTGTCCCTGTTTGGGGAAAAACTACCATTGAGATTCCAAGCACAATGATCTTTCACCTGGCATATCCGATCAGCATTTGTCGAGCACTCAGACAGCTGGAAAAAGCCAGCAGGGCATAAGGTGCATTTTTCACACTGCGAGGGTGTCTTTTGGAAATTACAAAATTCGTCACTTTCACAAAGGCCACAGTCCATTAAAGGTTCCCCAACATCAATCACTTTGGCATCGACTTCTACTTTATGCATGGAGTAGGACTTCTGGAGATGGCTTCTGACTTGGTTCTGAAGGCCTTGGAGATTGGCTTCGAAATAATGTTGAATATCCTCTTGCAAACTCTGAAACGACATTTGCTTCACTGTGTCAAAAAGCATGCCATACTGGACCTTGATCAGGTCCATTTGTTCATACATCTTCCTGTGTTGCTCTACGATTTCCCGCTGCTGAGCCACCAACATGCTCTGCTGCTCTGCAAGTTTTTGCTGTAAATCCACAATCACCGCCTGCTGGCTTTTCAGCAAGTCGACAAATTTCTCTTGTCCTTTCGTAAGCTGAAGTTGCAGCACAAGCGCATCCTCAGACGGAACCTCATTTTCCCCTAAAATACAAACAACCTGGCATTAAAACATAAATCCTTGGTGGTATTTCTCAAAACATCATCAAACGAGGTCACCAGAATGCGTGACAGGCCTTGCTGAAGCATTCAGCTGTGTGCAAGCAAATAGCATTCAAGGGCAGAAATAAAGCAAAGCCGTGTGTGTGTGTGTGTGTGTGTGTGTGTGTGTGTAATCCATAAGGGGAAATGTCCTACCATTAAACCAAGATGATGTACCATATTTTTGATACCCAGAAGTCTTCATCAGGCACTATCAGTGACTTCCCTTCGTCTCTTTCCATGGTTCATTTTGCATATCATAAGTCTCTGCATATTTTACATAAACCATTCAGTATTCCATTATTACATCCATCCAAACTTATTTACACTGTTGAATTTATCTTAATTCTGACAACACTTTCAAGTGTACACAAGTTCCCCCCATATATTCAATAAACATTTTCCAATCTTGTATAAATGCATGTTCTTCTTGTTCTCTTATTCTATATGTTAAGTCTGCATGCTGCACATATTCCATCAGCTTAAGTTGACATTCCTCTTTAGTTGGGACCTCGCTCATTTTCCATTTTAGAAGTGGCCTAGTTTAGACACCACACCTACCTGGTTTGACATCACAGGTCAGCTGAACACCCAGGGCAGCACCGCCTAGATCTGAAGCTGTGTAGGCAAGGTCTTCCCCAATGAACTGGGCTGCCCTCTCAGTTGCTCTGACCAAGGTGGGCTCACGGCAACCTTCCCCCTGGTTTGGAGGGCATGGGATGGTCTGGGTAGCTGGCCTGGACTTCTGGCGGATGTGCAGAGGCAGCCTGCACTCAATGCCTTCGCAGTCCCGAACGGTGCCATTGGGAGCGCCAGCGCTGCAGTCTCCTCCTCCAGAGCAACTCTCTTCTGCACCCCTCGTGGCGGCCAAGGCAGCATGTCCCAGGTTGCTGCCCCCTAGAGGCTCCTGCAGCTGCCCTTGCACAGGTGTGGTGGAGTGGACAAAGGCACGAGAAGGGTGCCTTGCCCTTCCTGAGCAGTGGGGGCCCTGGCAGTGTTGTCTGCTGGGCTGATGTTCGCTGTCACTGCTCCTGCTGCACGGGGGGTTCCGGCAGTGCGCAGCGCTGATGCATCCTCTTTCGCCAGCCAGAAGCCACAGGCAAACCCCTAGCCAGCAACAGAAAGCCCAATGGAGCTGTCTCGCCAGCATCTCCAGCGTCACCTGCAAGAGGAAGAGAGACCTTGGCAGTCCCTGGGGCAAGAAGAAGAAGAAGAGTTTGGATTTGATATCCCACTTTGTCACTACCCAAAGGAGTCTCAAAGCAGCTAACATTCTCCTTTCTCTTCCCCCACAACAAACACTCTGTGAGGTGAGTGGGGCTGAGAGACTTCAGAGAAGTGTGACTAGCCCAAGGTCACCCAGCAGCTGCATATGGAGGAGCGGGGACGGTTCACCAGATTACGAGTCCACCGCTCTTAACCACTACACTGGCTCTCTTGGGCAAGGGGCAAGGAAAGCACTGGGGCAAGGAAAGAGAGACCAAGTCTGTGCTTTTAGGGTATTGGCATACAGGTGCAATTTGCAGGTAGCACTCTGCCTTAATATGAACCAGCAAGTGTGTGGATTCCTGGAGTGAAGATCTCCTGTACTGAGCCCCTTACTCAGTCTGACTGCTGCAAGTCTACTCAGGTCTAAGCCATGATTTGGTTTAGCTTTATGTTCAAACTCCGTCTTACGTTCGTCTCCCCCAGAAAAACCACAGGTGGTAAATGAAAAGCAAACCCTGGTTATAACTTTTGGTTTCCCCCCAAAGCAATACAAACCTCAATCATGGAAGCAGCAGGAACTGGTGAGGAATACAGCAGCTATGAACCTGCATGTTTGCTCGTTCATGCTAAGGCATATTTTCGTTTAGCATTACATGCATATCAGATCAAAGAAAGAAAAACAACAGCTTTTAAAAAAGACGCTGTCTGTTAGAAACTAGAAAGCAGTGGTGTGTTAAGACAGAATCCTCGGTCTGGATGGACTAAGTGCAAATCCCAGTGGGACCGGCAACCATTGTTATCTCTACTACCTCTCAGGATTATTGCAAAGGCCCATGGGAAAAATGGTAGAAGTCACTGTGTCATAGTGGTTAGAGGGCTTTATGCCACACCAGCAGTGACGTCACAGGGTCACTGTCCAATTGAAGTGTGTGTCTAGAACAACTGCTGTTCCTACCCCACCCCAAGGTGCAATAGCTGTGCTTGCTAGGGGCAAAACAACCATTTCTCCCGTCTTAGCAGTGATTTCTGAAACAATATTAACTAGGCTGATGAGCAGAGGTTGGTCAATGTTTACAGATGCCCTAAAACAAAATCCAGATTCTTAGAATAGAGGAGGGGATATTGGACATACCATATTTATCCTGAGGAGAGAAATATCCATTAACAATACTGATATTAAAAACAGAGAACAACAACAACAAAACAGCAAAGCATAAAATGTTAGGAAAGCTATTGTTGTTAGTGGAAAAGGGTCCAGATAGGAACATAGGAGGTTGCCTTATATGGAGTCAGACCATTGGTCTACACTGTCAACACTAACTGACAGCATCTCCGCATTGTTTCAGCCTGGAGAACACTGGGAATTGAACCCAGAACCTTCAGCATGCAAGTCAGATGCTCTATCACTGAGCTATGGTCTTTTCCCCCCCCCCCAAGGATTACGTCTGCAATTGCAACTGACAAACTTCCTTAGAGAGGGAGCTCCACACAAGGGTGCCACCACAGAAAAGGCCCTCACCCCTCAAGACCCTAACAGGAAAATCCAGAAAAGGACCTTACTCCAGGGATGGGTGACCTCTATGTCCCTTCAGTACCAGGGACGCGGGTGGCGCTGTGGGTAAAACCTCAGTGCCTAGGACTTGCCAATCGCATGGTCGGCGGTTCGAATCCCCGCGGCGGGGTGCGCTCCCATCATTCGGTCCCAGCGCCTGCCAACCTAGCAGTTCGAAAGCACCCCCAGGTGCAAGTAGATAAATAGGGACCGCTTACCAGCGGGAAGGTAAATGGCGTTCCGTGTGCTGCGCTGGCTCGCCAGATGCAGCTTGTCACGCTGGCCACGTGACCCGGAAGTGTCTGCGGACAGCGCTGGCTCCTGGCCTATAGAGTGAGATGAGTGCACAACCCTAGAGTCTGGCAAGACTGGCCCGTACGGGCAGGGGTACCTTTACCTTTACCTATGTCCCTTCAGTAGTACTCAGCTCCCATCATGTACCTAGGCATCATGGCTAATGTGGTCAGGGATGATGGGAGCTGCAATTCAACAGGTTCTGTATCCCTGCCTTAGTGGATTTTGCAAACAACAATCAGGTTTGGATGGAAGAAGACAGCCTTTTAAATCTTGATCCTGGAACGGAATTTAAAGATGAGAAGCAGCACCTCTGTGCCCAGAAGCAAACTGTTGATCAATTGACAGTATTATATCCAAGATATCCCTTCTGAGAGGCTCAACCCTCTCTTCTGGTGTTAAGGTGGGGCGGGGGGGGATCAAACCTACATTTTAGATCGTGAATGTTTTAAATTTGCATTGCAGGCAGAGTGAAACATAAAACCCAAAGGGAGTCTCGCAAATATTGAAACAAAATCAACAACCACAGCAGCGAAGGAACTTCCTCCCAGCCAACCAACCGCATCCCAAACATGTTCCTTGGAAGTTAAGCCCCACTGATTACTACAGGCCCCACATTCCTATACTTAGTAGGATATCACACTTTTCTATTCATCTGCCTTAGAAAAACAGAAAAGATCAGATGCAGCAGATCTGAGAACAGCCCATCTGCAAGAAGAATTCTAGTTAGGTTCTAATACCAAGCAATTTTTAAAATTGTTGTTATTTTTATTCTATTATCCTAACTACCTGTCCCATCAACCTTTCAAGAAAGCTCTAAAAGGGTTCCCTTAGCACAACTTCGTTGAATTCAGGGAAAATAACTTTATTCTGGCAGATCTATCCGCATTTGGAGAAGCAAAGCTGCAGTAAAAGTCTTTCTCCTTACAATATAGACACACACACACAGACACACTCCCTGGCTGGGTACATTCGCCTATGAACTTTAAACTGACTGTTAAAACACTCTTTTTAAAAATAAAAGAGCATGATCCAACCAGTCTTACGGGAGTAAACGAGCTGCTTACCTTAAAAATAAAAAAAGAGGAGCAGATGGAGCGGAAACCAGTAGCTTTGGGGAGATCCAATGTTCTGCTCTTTTGGATCTGGACTGAGATGAATCAATGATCGCGTGAAGAAGGCAAAGTTTGTTTTGCCTCCACGGCGGGAAACTGACCTCCTCCTCAGAAACCCTGGAAGGGAATGTTAAAGTGCAAGAATTCTTTTAGTGCATCATTAGCATCGGGTTTCCCAGGACCCTCCCTTTAACTCTTTAAATCCCGCGCTGCCGCAGAGGCAGGAAAAGGTTCAAGGAGGAGGAGGCTCCGCCGTTCAGAGGTGAGTTGCGATTGATTTAGTCTCCCTGGTTGCTGCAGTTTCATGAGGAGGAGGAGGAGGAGGAGGAGGCAGAGCAACACTGGGAATCTGGTTACGGAATTAACTGGGGAGCGCGCAGGTCTTGACCGCAGGGAGAGGGCGAAGAACCGCGTTTGGGCGAAGATGAAAGGCTCCTCCTGTCACCCCCGAGTCAAAACAAAAAGTGACGCCGGTATTAGCGTCAAAGCCAATCAGCATCAGGAAGGGACTCAGCCCGCCTCGGCCGGCCACTCTGACCCCTGTCTAATAATATGTGCAACCAGTGCTGAATTTACGTATTGGCTGAACAAGTTATAACTTAGGGCCCCACTCTCTTGGGGACACCCCCAAAAAAATTAAAGAGGAAAAAAACCTGGATGTGCATTTCCAAAATATAAGATAAAAAGCAAATAAAATAAAACCTACATACAGCAACAGTGTGGCTAGCTGTGGGAAAGAATCTTCCCGGAAGTTCACAGTAATGAGCCCTGCCTGCTAGCCTGCTCCCTAAAATATCACTGGTTTGCTCATTTCCATATATAGGGTACCTACATTCTGCATGGACTGGTTGCATGGCAACCTGTGCAACCTGGCTTTAGATACCTATTAGCTCCATAAATTACCATATAGCATATATTCAACACAGAAAACAGCGACAATTTGTTGTTGACAAAGGACAGCTGGACATAGAAAGGGCCCCATTACCTTCAGTAGCTTAGGGCCTCATAGAATCATAGAGTTGGAATAGACCACAAGGGCCATCGAGTCCAACCCCCTGCCAAGCAGGAAACACCATCAGAGCACTCCCGACATATGGTTGTCAAGCCTCTGCTTAAAGACCTCCAAAGAAGGAGACTCCACCACACTCCTTGGCAGCAAATTCCACTGTCGAACAGCTCTTACTGTCAGGAAGTTCTTCCTAATGTTTAGGTGGAATCTTCTTTCTTGTAGTTTGGAACCATTGCTCCGTGTCCGCTTCTCTGGAGCAGCAGAAAACAACCTTTCTCCCTCCTCTATATGACATCCTTTTCCAGCCTCATCAAACCTAAATCTGGCCCTGCGTGCAATGTTGCTCTGCAAGTTAAAGAACCCAGATTTAACCATTTGTTTCTCTCTCTGAGACAGGGTTGAGAACCTGTGGCCTTCCAGAGGCAATTGGGACTTGTCCACAGTTGCGCATTATTTGGCTGTTAAGCCACTTCCTTCGTTTTAAAAGAGAAGTCCACACACACACATAATAGGAATTTATATATCAGGAACCCTTTGGATTTTTCTGTTCCCACCAGTAGGTGTTCCCTTTTGTATTTTGTTCCCTATTATGCAGATTCAGTACCAACAGGGCATGTGTGGAGACAGGTGAGTGTGCACCTTGTTTGTTTTAATTTTTAAGCACACTGTGCAGGTAGTGTTCAAAAGGACACAGTCAGCCAATTATAAATCCTCAGCACACTTTTCAGTGTGGGTTACCTGTGCAGTTCTGCAAATCTGAGGAATCAATAGCTAGCTAGCTATGCAGGAATCTATTTATGCTCCTGCATCAGAAATACTTACCAGCACCTCTGGAAATGAAATGACATGAATTGCAAATTCTTAGCATACACTTCAGATTCATGTTGCTGCTCAATATCTAGTGCGATCTTTTTTTTTTTTTTTTAATATGATTTGCTGGTGCAGTTTTCTGGTTTTGTGCAAATCTGAGGGATCAAAAACATTTATGTGCTTGAGTGCCATAAATAGTTACAAGTACTACATAGTTACAAGTACTAAGGAAATGAAAGCACTGAGGATATACAGTGGTACCTCTGGTTACGAACTTAATTCGTTCTGGAGGTCTCTTCTTAACCTGAAACCGTTCTTAACCTGAGGTACTTTAGCGCTCGATTTCTGTTCTCATCCTGAGGTAAAGTTCTTAACCCGAGGTACTACTTCCGGGTTAATGGAGTCTGTAACCCAAAGTGTTTGTAACCCGAGGTATAACTGTAAATGGAATGGTGAGGAGGAGGAGGAGGAGAAAGTAACAATTGACCCACCCACACCAAAACAAGTAATCTACAACCCCAAGTGAAGCAGTTTGGAGCCTGATTTTCCCCAGTTTGTAGAATTATCCCTATATAAGGTAACCCCAAATTTATAGTGGGAAAGCATTGAGATTGGTGTTGTTTGAAGGTGGGCTTCCTCCTATCTGCCCTCACAATTGGCTGTGTGGGCTGGGGCTGATGGGAGTTTTGAGTCCCAGCAATATCTGGAAGGCCACAGGTTTCACATCCTGCACTGAAAGATCAGGTGGCTTGGAAAGACCTTTACCTGAGACCCTGATGAGATGCTACCAGTTAGAGTAGGTAAGACTGTACAAGGTTATGGTATTTGCAAAAGCATGCACGAATCTCTGTCCTCAGATATTTGCGTATTTAAATCCATGTGCCAGTGTGAAACTTAATTCCATCTTTTCAGTTTCTCTCTAGTATTTGTATATATTGGATTATTTTTTATGTTCAAATCAATTGTACAAAAAAGTAGATGGTTCAGTACATGACAGTACATGAATAAAACAAAACAGTAGAATGCTACAACATCCAACATTCTGCCCTACTGAAGTACATAAAAGAGTACGTAATAGAAGAAGTGTGTTGCTACCATTTATAATTTAACTGAAAACAAACTTGAAAGATTCCTAGAGATAGATAGGCAGTTTTGCAATCCTGACTCCGATTTAAATCTCTGAGAGATTTGTAGTTGATCTACTGTAGGGAGCCATCTGGTCTATATTTTATTCAGCGTTTGAATCATAACACTATACTTTTATTGGCCGTGCAGAGTTAGCTCTGCAAATGCATTGTTTTATTCTCTGTCTGTTAAATGTGAAGTTGGTGTTTCATTTTTGCTAGCAAAGTGTTATATTCGAAAGCTAGACATGTTTTAGTTCTCAGCCGTTCCCCTAAAGTGGCACAAAAGCTGCTCTGGACATCGTCAGCCTCAATTTCAACAAAAGGTTTATGTTTCAATGATTTCTCTCACATTTTGCAGCTCACATTTGTATAAGTTATATATATTTTTTGTACTCATAGGGGTGATATTAAACGTTAGTCATACTCAGAACCACTGAAATCAATGCACTTAAGTCATTTTAGTCTGACTCTATAACTAATGTCAGATATTTTCCTATACATTCTGCATTCCATTTGTGATACCAAAAACTAAAAAATATTTTCCCCCCAAAGTGATAAGTTTTTATTCAGGCTTCTGAAAGAAACCAATACCAATGCTGTGTCCTTGGAACATCTTACTACTACCAGGTGAGGTTCCCACACAGTGGGAACTCAGCCGAACTCAGTTTGGGCACCTCTTAGCTGGGCTCCATTGCCATTCTAAGAGCATGAGGGTGGTGTTCACGGTGAGTTCCAACACTTCTTTTTCTAGAAAAATAGCACTGATTACACACAAATTGCCACCAGCCGCTGATTTTCCTCAACTTTGAAATCAGATAAGGAGGAAAGGCAACACTTTTGTTAGCTAGAAAGTGCTGTCCTCTGCACAGAAATAAGTACCACAAAGTTCAATCAATTGCACTTGCTCTCTAGCGAGTGAGTTTAGGATTGCAGCCTTGATCATCTGAAGCTACTTGCTCACGCATTTAGGGAGTTGGAACAACACCTCACTTGCATTGCAGTTTCAACTTCAAAGGGAATGTCTTTCTGTTTAAAATGGCCCTAGCTCAAATACCAGTAAAGAACAAAAGAAGTCTCTTGCTTTAGATATGAGTTGGAGCCATTCCAGTATTGGCGTTTTGTTTGGAATAAGCTGGTTGATACCAGCATACTCACGTGCAAAGCCAGAATCGTAGAAGTTCCCACCCATGATCAACTATTTCTTAGTTGACTTGCCACTAAAACCCAGATATCCTACTCCTGGATGAAATGCACTATTCTCTTTATATTTTTCCTCCAGTCTAGATTTTCCTTCTCATCTTGCTTCCATATGCTTGTGCAAAATGACTTTCATATACGCAACGTAATTATTTTTGAACTTGGTTCCAATCATTTGGGCGTGTATTGACTCCATATGAATAGCAAAGTCTGGGCTGAGATCCCAGTTTCCCTAGAGGAATGTCGCATTTAAGAACTGAATATAGGCTCAAGATAACCTAGGCAAAAAAGAAAAGGGAAAAAAAGAGCACCAACTCAGAACCAACAATTATTATTAGTATTAGGACAGTTCTCATTGTGCAAATATGTATGTATGATTAATCATAGATCATATCTGCACAAACTGGGATGTATACTAGTGTACAGGAGTTTGAATGGTAGAGTTGGATTGTTTTTTGTCTCCATGGAGGAAGGCTGGTTGGAGAGAGGCTGAATAATCATAGTGGTAGGCATTAATCAGCTTCTGTCCAAACATCCTTCCTCCACCCCAAATCACAGCCTGATGGGGTTGGTCTTCGCATGTAAACAGCATAGAGCAGCATAGGGAGGATGATTTATAGCTGAAAAATAAATCATCCACTGCAAGCTGATCTTTCATTGATGGTGGAAAAGATACAGGGACCCTATATCTTCCTTCTCTCTTTCCTCGGGGGATGAGAAACGATCACTCAAGGAGGCTTCAGAAGCCATCATACACACACACTGGGGGAAATCTGGATCTCAGTGGCAGAACACATGTTTTGTTCCAGGTTCAATCCCCAATAACTGCAAGCAGGTCTGAGATAGACCCCTGTCTGAAATCCTGTTGGCAGTCAGTGTAGAGTCTACACCAGGGTTTCCCAAACATGGGTCTCCAGCTGTTTTTGGACTACAACTCCCATCACCCCTAGCTAGCAGGACCAGTGGTCAGGGAAGATGGGAACTGTAGTCCAAAAACAGCTGGAGACCCAAGTCTGGTCTACCAAATGGTCTACACTGTAGGCAATGCTGAGGGCTTGCCCTGTGTATAGAATGCATGGGGGGGGCTGAGTGGTTTCCTGCTCCTCCCATGCTTTCTAGCCATGGGTCTGAGAGGTTTTGCCTCTACCCCACTGCTTTCCCTTGGGGAAACCTGCTCTTTAGTGTCAAATCAGAAGAAACAGCAATCCATGGGAAACTCGCTTGCTGTTTGTTCCAGTTCAGTGCTAAATCACAGGTTTCCACA